TCTTTTGGGATCTTACAAAGCTTCAAACGACGTGTCGACTATTAAATCAGTCGTCGACGATTTTGATAGTCGACGTAATCGTGACTAGTCGACTAATCGTGGCAGCCCTAATGGAGAGTCCTCTTCACACACTAAGGTCAACTATGGAGTTCCACAGGGTTCAGTGCTAGGACCAATTCCGTTTACATTATACATGCTTCCCTTAGGCAATATCATCAGAAGACATAGTATACATTTTTACTGCTATCCAGATGACACCCAACTCTGTGTTATTCAACATTGGTTTTACACATACTACAGTTAAATCTCACATTGCTGCTTGGCGCTGTCGGGTTATTAACCCCTCCACTGCTGCAGTTTTCTGCTTTTAATCAGCTCTGTGGCCCTTCTGACTTTATCTCCGCTAACACAGAAGAGCTTAATTCTTGGTTTTATTCTTGCTGTCAAACAGTCCGAGACTCTGTGGCTCCTGCAGGCAGCCTAAAGCTAAACCTGAGCCTTGGTTTAATGAGAGCACTCGTGCTGTTAAGAGGGAATGTCATCGAGCAGAATGGAGATGGAAAAAGGATAAACTGCATGTATCATTTCAAATTGTCATAGACTGCCAGCATCGCTACCAGAACACTGTTAAAGAGGCAAAAAGGGAATATTTGCAAATATTATTTCTTCCAACTGTCATAACCCACGTGTGTTATTTAGGACCATTGACACTGTTCTTAATACTCCATTGAATGTCTGTTTGGAAGTTTCGCCTGATATTTGCAATCATTTTCTGAACATTTTTATTGAAAAGGTTGTCACTACCAGGTGTGGTTCCTGCAAATTTCAAACATGCAGTAGTGCAGCCACTGGAAACAAAATCTACACTCATCATTGTGAGAAGAACAAGAAGAAAATTATTGGATCTCCTTTACAAGCAGAGTGTACACACAGAGCTGTGTGTAAATAATTTCTATGAATGTTTCTCCTGCAAATCAGTGATTTAGGAGAACTTTGTTATCTGAATCTGTACTCCAAGAACAAATTTAGAAGTATCTCTGACCATGCATTCAAACAAATCATTGTCTTAGAAAGTTTGAACATGTCTTTAAACTAAATATTGATAGTAGTACTAACTACAATAGTTCTAATAAGAAACTAATTATCATTGTTTCCTTTTAACCACCAGTCACAGTTTTCAAAACACTAAATTACAATGCAATAATGCATGCTTTTGTGTATTATGTTTATGTGTGATGTATTTTTATTATTCTTGTAAAGCGCTTTATAACAGCTTAAAAATGGCTATATAAACACATTGAACTTACTAATTTAGGGTAAATTTGTCATTTGTCATTAGCAGGAACACAATGAAACTAAGTGTATTATTGGGATTGTCTAAATGATTTACAGGACTGCTTGTGCCTGTCATAGTGATATGCGAATAATGGCTGTACAAATGCATCATGGCTCACATGTGCTCACTGCGTTCACAATGGCTGATCACAGCCAGTTTGTGTTGCAGTTTGTGAAACCTGGCAAGAGGACAAACTTTGCCAAAATTTACATATTGAATTTTAAATCTGTCAATATTTAAATAATTTGCTAACAAGGACCTTACGTTTAACAACCCACAATTAACTGTTTCAATCTTTGGTTGAGGATTTTATATGCTACTTTTTATGCTTAAATAGTTTTTCGGTGGTCTGAGAGTAGACAGTCTCTATAGAGAGAGGTGGGTTTTAAAGGGATAACAGGAGGAGAGAAGCTGCAGAGAGGACACATGTGGCAGAGTAAGTTTAGCAGATGAGCTAAAAATTGCTGATTAGTTCTAAGCAGAAATCATAATTGAAGTTCAGAATACTGGAAAGACACTTGAATTAAACTAAGTATTCAAATCTATTACAGTAGTTAGATTTTTTGACTGGCAACAGCATCCACAGATAAATCTTCAAATATACAATTCAACCACACAAAAATAAAATTTACTGTAAACAAATTATCTTTGGACAGATTGGCATGTAGAGTATTTGTAGGTATTGTGTATGTTATTTAGACAATAGTCTTGCAAATTTGTGAAATTTTCTCATATTTCTGTGAGTGTGATAGATTTGTTATTAAAAACAATAAAAACTGACCAAGTGGCCTAATAGAATAACACCTTCAAACCGAGTGACATCTTTATTACCTTAAATTAAAAAAAAAAGTGTCTTAAAAGGTTATAAAAGGGTTATTGGGGAAAAGTTGATTTACTTATGGATCTAAATATGATATTCCTGTTAGGAAAATCATTAGAGGTAATAGTTTTGGAAAAAATCCTTACTGTGCCTCAGCTTTTACACAATGCTATTTTATGACTCAGGGTATTTAAATATTTAAAAGATATTAAAAGTGCAATACAGCCTGCTGATCCCTTACCAGGGGAGATGTTAGATCTTCTTCCACAGAAGTCAGACAGCTGGTTGTTGAGGATGATTCCAGTGCTTGGAGAGAGGACCTTGGAGCCAAATCTGAAAAGAAAAATATATTTAACGAACTACAAAACTAGCATCCTCCTTGTGATTAATTTCTCCATTATCTCTTAAACCTTTCTGATCATTCAGCTTCAAAGGAAGAATAATATGTGATAGCTGGTTCCCAACATTTAAACAGAACCATCCAGATACTGACTCATCATTGATGCTGCTGGTGACAGACACAGCAGATCCATCTTCAGCCAGCACAGAAACGTGTGTGGTACCTTTGCTGTCCACATACTGGGTATCACCATAATACTCAGGGGCATGAGTCTCGTTAGTGATCAAACTTCGTATGCAGTCAGCAAAGTTATCCTCTGTTAAATTTTTTGCCTTTGTGAACTGCAGAGCATAAAGAATAAACACATTACACAATATCCATGAACATCAAGACAAATACAAAAAAATACATAAAATATTTAGAGTCAAATATTAACACGATTTGTGTTTATCTGCTTTTAGAGCTCGTTATTTGTTTTTGTATGTTACACCACTTGTCAGAATTATCATTTTAAAGAGAAACTGTAAATGCTGATTTACTGGGAAATGTTGGGATTACAGGAAAGTTTTCACAGCACTCAATCTTTAAAAAACTAAGTACACCCTTTCTGCTTCCATAAGAATTAAGAGGGTAATTACCAGACAGGTGCTGATAATCAAATGACCTTCATTAACTAATCATTAAACTGGAAGCACCTTTATAAATGCATAAGTTTGGCAGTTTCCTGGTCTGGAGCATTCAGGTGTGTTAACACAGTCTCACTCTAACAGTCAAGTCAGATCAGTAAGCTCAGAGACAATGCAAAAATCTCTTAACAAATTCATGAAGTGACCACTGATATAACACTGATAAAAACCAATGTTGCCTTTTTGAAAGCAGGAACTTTACTTTTAAATATTTTATACTGTCTATTTTTAGGCGTTGATGCTGTGTTATTGCTACTTTTACTCAAGTCAGATGATCTCAATATTTCTTTCACCACAGTCATAACTAAATGTAACTACTTAAAAATGATTTACCTCTATCCAACAAAAGCAGGTGTAAATCTGTCCATGTGATACTTACATTTGCTGGGTCGAACTTTGGATCTCCGATACGTTTCCTTAATCCATTGGCAAATTTTAAAGCTTCAATATAACGGTGATAGAATAATGTCTTTTCATCGGTCGTGTTAGGTTCTTTATTTATTTTATATCCTGAAAATATAAACAGCTGTTAGAAAGTGTCATTTTGTGATTTCAGAGTGTAGATGAGCAGCAGTTCTACAGTCAGTATCTAACAGGAACCTTTCATGATGTTGAGGATGAGGCTGAGAATGGCTCCTCCTGCAGGAGGTGGAGGGAAGTACATCATATAATCTCCCAAAGAAATATTCCACGCTTCAGTCACTTTAACTTCATATGATGCCAAGTCCCCCAGTGTGAGGTTTCCTTCCCGTGAAATATTCCAGTTTTTCAAGTCCGTGACGTTTGCTTCAGAGCAAAAACAGTGAAACAAATGATTCTGCTGAATAAAACTGAACACAACACATATCATAATCAAGACTTTTAATGAATCCAGACAGCTCACAGTATAGCTTGTGAGAGATCATGGCAGAGATTCACAGAGCTAATTGATGTGTTTGTTTGTAATTAGATCATTGTGCCTGGCAGATATAGAAAATGGTCAGAAAGAGAGCAGGATGAAACCCGTCTGACAATACCTGCTTTCTGTATGTCACTGATTAAATTCTTTGCTATTGTTCCGTTGTAAAACACATCTGGTCCCTCGTTTGCGATCGTCTCCAAAGTGTCAGCCAGTTTCTCAAATTTCACAGTATCACCGGTCTTAAGCAGGTTCCCATTTTTATCTAAATATAACTCCCTAAAAGACAAAGACAGTGAAATAAAGCTGAACCATTCTCTGTTTGCTCCTCATATTTTTGAAATCACATTGTGGGTGTATTTCATACCGTATTAACGTATTATTAATGCGTTGGATGTATTGACCATGGGTGTATTCAATACGGGACCCATTTCTGGCCAGTTTGATGGCCGGCTGAAAGAGGTCGGCCCACGGCAACTTCCCATACAGCCGGTGTGCCGCTTCATAACCTCGAATTTCCCCAGGAACCCCAATCCATCTGCTATCTGATCAGATGAATAATGGATAATCAGGGCAGGAAAGTAACTCATACATTTAATCATGTTTTCAGTCAACCGTAAGGTTCTGACCTTTAATGTCCTGAGATAACATTTGTTATAGTTTGGTGCTATATAGTTTCAAATGATTTCTACTTTATTTCATTTCAGAGGTGTACTTGGTGTACCTTTTTGTCCATTTATAATTAGCTATATCATAGATAATGTTTTGCATATTATACTTGGGCGAGCGTGGCTCAGGGGGTTGGGAAGCATATCTGCAACCGGAAGGTCGCTGATTCGATTCCCGGGCTCTCTGTCCTGGTCGTTGTGTCCTTGGGCAAGACACTTTACCTACCGGCCAGAGGGGCCGATGGCGCGATATGGCAGCCTCACCTCTGTCAGTCTGCCCCAGGGCAGCTGTGGCTACAACCATAGCGTGAATGTGAGAGTGAATGAATAGTGGCATTGTAGAGCGCTTTGGGTACCTTGAAAAGCGCTATATAAATCCAATCCATTATTATTATTATTATCATTACTTACCTTTGCTTTTTACATTTATTTATTTCACTATATATACACACATGATTAGACTTTTCCTGGTTATAACAATGTTTATCATATATATCAGGATATCATATACAGGAAAGTACCTGCCTTTCTAATTTTCTTACGTGTGTACGTGTGCACACACACACACACACACACACACACACACACACACACATACATACATACAACATACATACACATACAATACATACATCATACATACATACATACATACATACAACATACATACATACATACATACATACATACATACATACATACATACACACACACACACACACACACACACACACACACACACACACACACACACACATATATATACATATACACACACACACACACGTACTATACATAGTGGGTGCATTATTGATGCATTTTTTTCGTTTTAAATAAATATTTGAGCCGATAACCCCTATGGTGGACATGATGGGCCAAAACATCAACAAATAGAAAAACACAGCAAAAATCACACAAAACACAATGGAAAGAAAAAAAAACGAATTACAAAAATAAGAAAAAAGAAACACTTCAGTTTTGTTCCGTTTTTTTTTTTTTCTTTTTCTACTTCTGTTGTGTTTTGTTCGCGTTTGCAGTGTTTTTCTATTTGCTGGTGTTTTCTTAAGTTGTAGTCCATTTCGCCTTTCAGGGCCACCGTAAATAACAACTTGAGGTGGTCATTAGAGTAGATAATAAAGAACTGTTTATGCACTACATTTAATTAAAAATCTCTAATTTTTCAACAAGTCTACATAGTTTGAAATCATATTTTAACACTTATTTTTCAACATACTGCACTCCACAGTTACTTAATGGCTAAATAAGTTCTGCTTTTCTCTATATTGGTTTTCCTGTAGGCGTACCCGTGGAGGGCCAATGGCACCTTTTTGGATCCCAAGTGCAAACAGGCTATGGATTGCCCACACTAAATACCATTTCAGCCAGTACTCGGGCCCACAGTGGCCTGCCTATAAAACCCCCACAGCCTCCTCCACTATAGTTGACATCAAAGTTCAGTTATCCAACCAATTTATTCAGATCATTTAATTATGTTACTAGTTGCTTTGAAATAAAAGAAATTGTTAAACCAAAAAAACCAAAAAAACCAAAACAACAACAACAACAATAAAAACTATATGACCTACTTTAAGTGAACCTTAATGAAGAAGAAACATTTACAGTTAAAAGAACTGCGTTACAGGATCTGCTGCTCTTCTTGTGACAAACCAAGCAAACAGAGTTCTTCAATCCTTTTGTCATTATCTGATAATTTCACTAACCTAAGCTCCTCATACCTGCAACCAAAAAGCTAGTGCACGACAACAGATGGATCTAGAAAAACAATAAAGACTACCTACAAAAAAATCGGGGGGGGGGGGTAGGTAACAGATGCAGATCTTTAGATAATGGTATTATGTTATCCTACCTTGTTTCTGGTCTGAGGTGTTATCACATGACTTAAGCAGATCAGGGGTCACGTTGCTGGGGACAGTCTCTCTGGAGTTGATTATTGTTACTTTACCTTTGAAAAGATGACATATTATTACTTGATTCTTCAGCAAGACTGAGCTGCTGCATTAGAATGTGGGGAATGTCTTTTTACCAGAGCGGTCCATAATTGTGAATATGGACCCTCCTCCGATTCCCGCACTCTGTGGGTTGATAATGGAGGTGCACAGCAGCGCAGCAATGGCGGCATCTACTGCAGAGCCGTTTTTCCTTAGTATTTCCCTGAAAGAGTTCACCGTTATTAACTGAATTAAGATCTCAATCAGGATTTTCCCATTCTGCAATTGAATTTCTATGATGCATGCCCCACTAACTGTCTTTGGACTGTGGGAGGAAGCCGGAGTTCCCGGAAACATGGTTTAATGAGCTTCCAAAGATGTTTTAGTGCTCAGGTTTTGTTAGTACATATAAACAGAACAAAGTGTATCAAAAAAGAAATGTCACTGACTGTCCAACGAACATCTGCAGCCAGTGCAGGGTTTAGGCACTTGGGCCTCAGATTTACAAGAGAAAATTTTAGCAACCACACAGAACAATATGATTGTAAACTATTTTCTGATTATATGGCAGGTGGGAAAAAAACAATGTACAAATACTTCATTACTGTGCTTAAGTAGGGTTTTCAGGTATCTGTACTTTAAGTATTTATTTTTGGACGTTTTACTTTTACTCCCCAAATTTTGAATCGAAAGTACAGAAAAAAGTAACATTTTCAAAACAGGTTTGCAGTACTTCCGAATCTAGCTAGCACTACAGAAAAGAAGGAAACAGGAAGAGAGTGATGTTTTTTTCATTGGCAGGTAATTTTAAAATCAGCTTTTCTGTCAGTTCAATAAAACATCACCAAACACACAAACTGTGTGCAAACACCCTGACCACCTTAAGGTGGCAATCCTTCAGGGAGAAAACAGAAAAACAAAGCAACATGCATGAAGCTTGCCACCCTGGAGGAGGTGATCAGTGACAGGCTGTTGGCAATCATAGACAATGCCTCCCACCCCCTCAATAGCACACTTGACAATCTGAAGAGCAGTTTCAGCAACAGGTTCATTCAACCTCGCTGTCTGAGGGAACGTTACAGGTCATTTCTTCCCACTGCTAACAGACTCATTAATTCTTCCACTTGGGTCAGGTCCACCCATGTGGAACAGAATTAATCTCACCTCAATGGACCCCGTCACTTTTATATACCATGACATATATTTACACACATACTTGCCCTTTTATATTCAAGCTATATCTCTATTTTTTTTTTTTTTATCTATTTACCTTAATATTTGTTTATCAAAACCTCTGTTAGTACACTCATTTTATATGAGTGCTTGGTGTGTATTGCATTTTTGCTGCTATGACAACTCAATTTCCTTCTGGGATTTATAAAGTCTATCTGATTCTCTGAATACCTTTGTACAAAATTGTTAGCGAAATTGTCCTTTGAGGAACAACTTTTTACATTCTTATTTCAGGTACATTTTGGAGCTTTCAGTTAAGCAAACGCATTTTAACATACTTTTGCCACCTCTGGCAACTAACCACAAACCTGCATATGCTAATCACAGCCATTTCCTGTACCACCCCTGCTTGACGTTTTCTGGATGAGTCATACTAATTTAAAGATATTCAACAGACTTCAAATGTCTGGCAGTTGAAAATAACTACCAATACCTTTCAGTTGAACTGCAGTAATTGCTGGCATAGTATCATTCTGGAGCAAATCCCTGTTGTGCTTTGGTGCACCAATTTAAAAACTGATTTGAAATCCAAGACCATGAAAATATGAAAATAAATTTCGAACCATTAAATTCTTAAAGAAAGAAAGACTTTTTATACACAACAGTATTTTTATGTTACCATTTCTGCCTCCATTAGGTATCGGGATGAAAGCCTTGGACCCATTATCAGACACTACGCTGGTGTAGTGGGTGCGGGGTTTCTTCTGGTGCATGCCTGGCCTCGTGCGATGAGAGTATGCAGGCAGTTCATGAAGGATGAAGGAGTTGATACCATTGACATTCCCCTGACCTAAATCTAACAGAAGACCTCTGAAAAACTGTTTGAGGTCATGCAATGCCACCCAGTTGTACCTCAGACTGTCAAAGAGCTCAGTGATACCCTGATCCAGATCTGTGAGGAGATCCTCCCCCCAGAACACAATCTGTCATCTCATTTGAAGTATCTCCCGATGTTGTCAGGCATATACAGTGGCTTGCAAAAGTATTCGGCCCCC